AAGCAGATAAAATGTGGAAGTAGATATGAAATCTAATTTGTCATTTTTGTGCTATCTGACGCATTCTGAAAGCTAAACACACAGGCTACTGCATTAGTGTGTGTGTTCACATATGCGCCCAAGATGGCGTTGCTATGGAGATGAGAGCTGTGCAGAGGGAGAGAGGAAAAGTGGGGGTAGGACTCGCCTAGAAGCATGTTTAGATCACACCCTTCCCCTATTTACTCACGCACACAGATCAACAGTACAGTATACATCCTTAGGACACACACACACTTACTCATAAACACGCACACAAAACCGATGGCTGTGTGAAGGCATGAGATGATTACATGCAGACAATATAGAAGCTAATGTGGTGGCTGTACTGTATGTGGTAGTATCCCTTTAATAATGCAGTGAACACACCTAAAGCAGTGCTGCTGACTGCTTCCGCCCCTGCAACCCCCTCCCTTCACCTACCTCTCACTGCTTTATCTGACCCTTTCATCACACTGCCAGTGGTGATTCTAGTTTCACCTCTAACATTATCGTGTTATGGGCAAACAACAGACAGAGAAGAAGGTTAAGTACATGTGTACTTAACCACTAGACTTATTTTTAACAGCTCTCATATTTTAGGAAGCAAATAATGTAAATTTTTCTATACAACAGTTTAATCACTATTAATTATTCAGAAGTTTCAATTATTATACCCAGAGGAAGAATGACTTTTATCAATGCATGCATGCATCGGTTTTTAAAAACAAACGCACACCTCTCTCGCCTATGGGGTGCCACAGCATTCTGTCTTGGGACCGTTACTGTTTCTGTTGTATTTAGTCCCTCTTCTTCAACTTCTTAGCTCTTTTCCGAATATTTCGTATCATTGTAATGCAGATGATATTCAGCTTTATATCTCTTTTAGGCCACCTGATGTTTCTAAGCTTCAAATCTTGCAGTCCTGCTTAGATTCCAGCAGAGATTAGATGGCTGATAATTATCTTCAACTAAATGCTGATAAAACTGAAGTCATTGTCTTTGCTCCTGAGAAATTTGTTCCCCTCGTGGTTAAAATCTAGGCCCTCTTGCTTCTTATATTAAACCCTCCATTGGGAACCAGCTCTGACGCTGCACACACACGTTAAATGTTTGGTTCGCTCTTGTTTTTACCATTTAAGAAATATTGCTAAGCTTAGTCCCATTGTGTCATGCTTCGAATTGGAAATGATTATTTATGCTTTTGTTTCATCTCGTTTAGATTATTGTAATTCCTTGTTTACTTGCTTAAGTAATGCCTTCCTGGAATGACTGCAGGGTGTTCAAAATGCTGCTGCTAGGCTTCTGACAAAGTATCCCAAATGCTCCCATGCCACTCCCCTGCTGATTCAACTGCAATGGCTCCCTGTCAAGTTCAGGGTCCATTTAAAGATTATAATCATGACCTATAGGAACCTGCACGGTGTAGCTCCAACTTACATCAGTGATCTTCTTCTTCGTTATCGCCCCAGCTGGTCCCTGAGGTCTTGTGACCAGGGCTTGTTGGTTGTCCAGCATACACGGTTAAAAACAAAAGGTGACAGAGTATCAGTGGCGACCAGACTCTGGAACTCACTCCCTTTGAGTTTGAGAACTGTGGACTCAGTCATTTCTTTTAAAAAGCAGTTAAAAACTTATCTGTTTAAACTTGCTTTTGGTTGATTTTGTTTGTTTGAGGTTGGTCTAGGTGTATAGGTGTTAAAAATCAATTGTTATTTTTGCATTACTGTTTAAACAACTATGTTTTGATGAACTAAACATTCTGCATGTTTCCCTAATTAACTGTATCACCGGATAAAGAGGTGTGGATGGCCTTATGGATATGCTCAGTAACCCACCACTAATTCCGGGGTGTATTCAGAGCTGCTGGCTAATATACTGTGTTTCATCTATGTGGAACTAGGTTTTCCATAATTACAGAAACCATGGATTTGTTTCTTTTAAAAATGTATTGTTTGTTTAGAATAAGAAAAAATAGTGTTCATCCTCTCACTGGGCAGCAAAGAATACCAAGTGTGAAATTTATGGTACATTCATATGTGTTTCATGGTGACTTTAGGAGAATGATAATCCAGACTGAAGTCCTGTAAAGTCGAAGTAGTGTAGTCTGGCCCTAAAATAAACCATGAATAATTGAATTTCATAACGGGTTGCATAATTGCGATGGTGGAAATGTATGCATTTGCTTGTGTATGCTAATAAACCACAAGAGCACTATACTCTATCTTCTATACTTTACCTACTGTTTTCTATTACATGCATTAGGAAAATGAACACACAGATCATCCTATGTGAGCCATTATTATTATTAATATTGTCTGTGGGGGCTGACAGATGATTGTAGTTGTGGGATAATATTTTCAAATCAAATCGTGTTTTCTGAGTAATGGAAATAGGGCAGGAGTTTCTGAATCTAGGGCTTAATCATGGGATTACAAACAAGCTCATGACTACAGTCTCTGTGGAAATGTGGAGTAATACTAAAATGCACCAAAAATACAACACGAGAAGCAGACACCCCCTCCTGTGCTCATATGTGCAGAAGAATAACTAGGTACGATTAAATATATTTATTGCCTAAAAGGCTGAAAGAGAAAATTTCATTAAAAGATAAATAAAGAAGCCATTGATGTGGGTGCAGAAGAAGAAACTGTACTATTTTTTATGGTTTAGGGAGGGTTTTTGTTTGTTTGTTTTTTTACTGTTTTTGTTTGTTTGTTT